TGACGGGCCGGCAGACCCCAACACTGCCCCCGCGGAGCAGAGCCCCACTGCGGCTTCAGGCACGGCCTCAGACCACGAGCGACAGCCCTCACCCCACCGACTGCCCCTCCATTCTGGGCAACGGCGTCAGCTCGCCACATCGGTCAAGTGACGGACAGAACGACGGAGCATCTCAGTCGCGACAGCATCGTCAGAGTAGCACCCACTGCAGTGAACCCCCTCTGCAGGGCCAGGCCCGCCTGGCAGCAGGAGGGACGGCTCCGCACGCCGACGTGGCCGACAGCCCAGCCCCCCCGCTAGCTGCGGAGGCCGGGCGATCACCGGCGCCAGACGGTCGTGCGCCTCCAGAAGGACCGGCAGGAGACGGGGAGGACAAGCGCCCGAGACTGCTCGCCCTCCCTGGAGGTCCCCAGGGGCCGCTCCAGGGGCGCTGTCCCCAACGCCGAGCCTCTCGCCTCTCGAGGCCCTCTGCCAGTGCTCTCCTGTTTCGCCTCATGAAGGCGTTTCCCGCGGCCCCATGGTGGCCCAGCGTGAACCCTAGTAATGCCGGTCCACTTGGCCTCCCCCATTGACCCTGAGGACGCTAGTTTCGGATTGCCCCTTCAGGATTCAGCGCGCATCGCGCGTTCGGACGCCTCCCCCAGGCGGCGCGGATCCAGTTGCAGGGGCGGCCGAGCGTCTTTCCAATCGCACGCCTATTCGGCGCCCCCCCCTTCTTTTCAGCGGCCCCCCCATCCAGCGCCGCGCGAGCCGGAGGCGCCGCGAGGACTTGGGGGCGGGAGGGGCGCGAGAGAAACGAATGACGCCCTTAGCCCCGCCCCCGCGGATGGAGCCCGCAGGGCCCCCTCAGCGGGCCAGCGCTGCCACCGCGGGATCGAAGCGGCGAGATTGGACGCGACGACGGCCCGCCCGCCCCTCCACTCGAGACGCTCAGTGCGAGCATTCCTTGGCGAACCCTGAGGACGTTCTTCTTGCTTCCCCCGTTCGGGCCTCAGCCTGCCCTCCGCGCGCCAGCGCGGCCCCTTCAGAAAGGCGCCCGCGGCTGCGGGAAGGGGGGCCCAGAACTCCCAATCGCGCGCTTATCCGGCGCCCCCCCCCCCCGCGGCGCAGCTGGCCCCAGCCCCGCCGCCGCCGCACTTGGAGCTCAAGAAGGTCATCTATGACTGGGGGGGAACTTCACTGAGGATAACGAGCAAGCCCCGCGCCCAGGTAGCAGGAGGCCACCCCCCCCCCCAGAACCCTACGCCCCGGCCCTTGGGGCCAGCGAAGGAATTCCTCCTTCGGTTGGCCCAGAACGCGCTCACCGAGACTGGCAGGGCCCTCGGGGCCTCATTCCCCCCCCCACCCCAGGCGCCCAGGAAGGTGGCGCTCCGGCGCCGAACCTGGCCAGGCCATGAGAGGGGGGCCCGCCCTCTCGACCGCCAGCCTCACTGCCTCCTTAGGGTCGCTCTTTGCCCTTTGCTCAGGCCCTAGCGCGCCCGCCGTCGGAAGGCCATCAACGCAATCGCATGCCCGACGGGCTCTCTCGCGCGGCCCCTGGCGAGACCCCCCATAGAGCGCTCCCCTCCGGGGCCCCCGGGGCGACCAATCGGCGGCTCTCCCACGGGGCGGGCTTGATTTCCCTTTGTCTGAGGCGCCCTCGGTTTGGGCCGCCCCGCTCGGCCACGATGAACCGCCTGGGCCCCGCCCGATTCCCAAGGGGCCCGTCTCCCGGGGCCGATCGACGCCGGCGCTGGGCCCGCGGGGCCCACCGCGCGGGGCGCCGCGCAGGCCGAGCGACGCTGACGGCGGCGGTAATCTCGCACTTCGTTTCGGGAGCGGCGCGGGTCCGACCCGGAGCTCGCGCGTTGAGCGCGGGCCTCGGGGGCCCCACAGCGCGGCGGAACAATTCTCCAGGACCAAATTGGGACTTCTGCCTCTGGTCAGAATGGCAGGCGCGAAACCCGCGAAGGCTTCGACTGGCCCTGGTCGCCGACAGACGCGCCGCGGAAAACTGCGCCCCTCGAGCTCGGAACGCCCCGGGTGGCGGAGGTCAGCCGGGCGACCCCTCCCCGCCATGTGATCATGAGGGCGATCCCGGCATTCCGCCCCCTCAGGCTGCAGCGTGCCCTCCGCGCACTGGGGCCTGCCCACCTTGGGGGGCGGCCCCAGACGCAGGGGGGGCTTCGGCGATTTCCACTCGCACGCCGCGCACCTATTCTGCGCCCCCCCCTCCGTTCTGCGCAGCCAACCAGATGGCGCAGACGGCGCCCCCCCCCGCAAACGGAGGGCGGCGGCGACGTCGCAGGCGCCCCCCCCCCCCCCCCCGCGCGTCGCTGGACCCTGAAGCCCCCGGCGCCAGCCCTCGCGCAGCCCCGCCTCTCCTGCTGGGGGGGGGGGGCCTGCGAGCCGGCAGAATCGAGCAGGCGGCCAGCTCAGACAGCTGGGTGGAGAACAGATGGTGGCAGAGACGGACCTGCCAGATCTAGGCGCGGGCCGGGCCCCCCCCCGATCGACTCGCAGGAGCACCTCAGACCAGGGCGGGAGGCGGCAGCCAGGACCAAGCAGCAGCCCCTCCCCCCCCTCTCGGGAGAGGCGGGGGAAGGGCGCCTCGGCGCTCGCGCGGGCCCGCCCCCAGCACGAGCCACAGCAGGCACAGCCGCGCAGCCCCTCCCCGCCCAGAACCCGCAAGGACCGAGACCGCTGTCGCCCCACAAGCGGAGCTGTCTCCACGCGCCCCAACGCAAGAGACGGACGCACAGCCCAGTGCGCGGATCAGACTGGCGGGAGTGGACGCGGGGCGGCTACCCCCTGAACGCGACGCAAATGACCCCGCTGCGGCAGACGCTAGGCAAGGCGCGAGATCCTCTGAGCATTCCGACCACGACGTTGACACCAATCCCAGGGACTGCGAACCCACTCCTCACGGCGACCCGCTGGGCGCGAGGAACCCGGCTTCCCCCCGCCCCCAGATCAGCGCAGCATCAGCGCTGACCCCGCCGCTCCTGAGCGGACGGGCCGCCGTTGCGAACGGGCCACGCGTCGCAGTTGCAGGTTCTGCGGATGATGGAGGCAGTGGCCCCCGTCTCCCGCTGCAGGCGCAGTGGGCGAACGCGGAGTGGACCTGCAAACGTGCCATGCGACCCCTGGCCCCTACGGTGAAGGCCGCGACCCACGCCCGCAAGGACCGGCAGTGGAGGGCACTGCTAGTGGAAGCGGGCGCCCCAGCGCGCGCGCGCTGGGGCCGCCGCGCGGAGACAGCTCGCAAACGCCGATGCGAGTGAGTTGGCACTTCTCCACTCCAACACAGGAAACCCAGCCCTGGAAAGCTGAAAATACAGCAACCTTTCATTCGAATGAATCACGACGTCGGGTTTCCGGGGGCTTCTTCCCCAGGGCCAGCTTTTCATCCTGGGTAATTCCCCAATAAGGTTTCGTCTGGGGGCTTTCAGCTGTTCCCAACAATCCTGTGGTGTTGGGTCCTCGCTTTGAAGAGACAGCGCCCCGCGTCGCTCCTCCTCCTCCCGCTGCCCCCTCCCCGTCCTCCCATCCCTGCCTCTGCTCTCCGCATGTCCATCATGTCGGCGAACCCCTCGCACGTTTTCGTGGCCGCATAGGGAGTTCCACCGAAGGCTCCTGTGGCAGGGTCCGCATGCGTCAACGCCACCCAGAACAGCGCTTCGTGGCCCCATAGGGAGCCCTACCGAAGGCTCCAGTGGCAGGGTCCGCATGCGTCAACGCCACCCAGGACAGCGCTTCGTGGCCCAATAGGGAGCTCCACCGAAAGCCCCAGTGGCGGTGTCCACACGCGTCCGCGCCACCGATTTCGGCGCACCCCTCACACGTTTCGTGGCCCCATAGGGAGCTTCACCGAAACCGGCACCCACAATGCGGGATTCGCACGTGCACATGGTTGGGTCCTTCGTCGGGCTAATGTTTTTGGAGTGCCCGTGGGCGCGCGGCCTGCGCCGGCCAGCCTTGTCCAGGTTCTTCGGGCTCCTCGGTCTTGTTTCTTCATGCGCTTTTGGCGGCCAGCGTCGCCCCGGGACGCAGGGTGTCCCGGGTCCCTTGGCCGTTTTTCTTTTTTGGTTTTGAAGAGGCGTTTCCCGGGCTGCCCAGCACTGCCTCGCAATTCCAAACAATCCATAGGAATGCCAAGCAACGCGCAGCAATGCCAAGCAACGCCAAGCAATGCAAAGCCATGCAGCGCAATGCCAAGCAGTGCCGCTTAATGCGAGGCAGTGCCAAACAATGCCCAGGATACATATACTTTTACTTGCGAATGACACGCTGGGGCTTAACTGTCCACCCTGAGCTGACAAGTGACAGCTCGGACTTGCTGGCCCGCCGGAGCTGAGGACCTTCTCGATAAAACACAGCTTGGACTTGTTTGCCCGCTGTTGACTAACTTGTAGTACGCTCGGGCCTAATTGCACAGCCTAAGCTCACAAGTGGCACGCTCGGGGTTGATTCCTCAACCTCAACTAACAAGTAGCACGTTCGGTCCTGGCTGCCCAACGTAAACTAGCAAAAGGCACGCTTGGGCCTGGCTTCCCAGCATCAGCAAACAAGTGATACGTTCAGGCCTGATCGCCCCGTCGAGTCTAACAAGTGACGCGCTCGAGCCTGATTGCCAGCGTTAGCTATACCACACTACTTCCTTGGCCAATTACTATCATAACGTAGGAACGTTTCTCCTATTTGGGCACGCGCTGAGTTCATGTTGTTAGGGTCCTGGAGTTTGATCGATGCTTCCAGGGGCGCAGCACTGCGGAGCACTGGTTGTCTCGACTCTCCTGATTCTGGAGGACCCCCCGAGGTGTGTGGACCCAGTTTTTTCGATCAACCCCAACCCCACGGGTGCAAAGATAACCTCGCTCTGCGCATCGCGGCCGGGGCCGCTGAGTTGTCCTTGTCCAGGGCAGCGCCTCGAGGGCGCGATCGATGGCCGCGCGTGGGGCGCACCGCCGGGCGCAGCACGCGGAGCCACGCGACCGCGCCTTCGATTCTCCAGCGCTCAGGTGGCGATCCAGGGGCTGCTGCGGGCGGGCTGCGCGGCGGCTGCGGAACACGGGCGACTTTCGGCCGCGTGCGCGCACGCGGGCCGCGCGCTGCGCGCCGTCGGGGGGTGGCTGGCCGAGGCGGCGGCGGCGGCCGAGGGCCTCGCGCCCGAGGCTGGCAAGAGCGGCGGCGGCAGTGGCGGCGGCGTCGTCGGCGGCGGCGGCGAGTGAAGCGAACACGGCGGCGGCGGCGGCCACGGAGGCGGCGGCGACGACGACGGCGGCGGCGACGACGGCGGCGGCGGCGACGACGGCGGCGAGGTCGGCATCGGGAACCTGGCGCCCGTCCTGGACTGGGCCGTCCGTGCCATGTCCGCCTCAGCGCGGGGGCTCGGCGGGCCTCGAGGTCTGGGCGGGGGGGGGTCGTCGCCGGGGGCCACGTCGCCGCAGACACCGCAGGGGCAGGACCCGGCGTACAGCTTCTTCCCGGATGACGGAGACGAGGAGGAGTGCGGCCGTGCCGGGCCGGGCGGCGACTCCGGCGGAGCGCTCGGTCAGGCCGGGGAGTTCCCGTGGGAGTCCCTGGGCTGCGGGGAGCCCTCGCGGTGGGAGCCCGACCACGAGGCGCCCGCCCGGGTCCGCAGGCAGGTGGAGGAGGAGGTCCGCGTGCAGATGCAGGCCCAGGTTTCGGGTGTTGCTAGAAGTGCCCCTGGCCCAAGGTGCCCCCAGGATTTCCAAGGATGCCCCCACGGCCTCCAGAGTACCCCTCACGAGGTCCAGAGGGCCCCAGGGGCTCCAAAACTGAGCGAAAAGCTGGGGGTACCTTTGGCCAGGGGCACGTTTAGCAACCCTTGAAGGTTGCGGGCGAGCTGGAGAGGCTGAGGCTGGAGATGGCGGCCCAGGCCTCCGAGTCTGCGGCGATCACCGAGCGCTCCAGGCGGGACGCGGACGAAATGGCGGAGAAGCTGAGAGAGGACCTGGAGAAGGCGAGGGGCCGCATCGACGAGCTGCGGAAGAAGCTCACCGCGCTCCAGAAGATCCTCGAGAAGAGAGGGCTGGGCAAGGAGATGCGGGAAGCCATGGAGGAGGCCGGGCTGACCACCTTCCAGTCGGGTGCCAACCGAGTGTTCGAGCGTTTGTACGGTGATGCCACGGCGAGGTTGCACAAGTTCACGGAGAGGCAGGTTGATTACATTAGGGAGAACAGCACCGGTTGGCAGAACAAGTGCAAG